GAGATGGAAAAAGGGATCGGTTCTCTGGTGAAAGTTGGGTGGGGAATTCCAGGCAAGTTGCAGCTGATGCTAATGTACACAGGTTTGCTTTCTTTGAGAGCTGTGGAGATGGCTTTGTCAATTTGTTCATGTGCATCTTCCAAATTATTCACTACAGCCTGAAATTTTAAGGAAAAATTGTTAAATAATCATCAAAACTTAGTGAACAATAGTGCCTAGCTACAATTTGCAGAATACTATTACTAGTGGCATGAGGAGTAATATATGTATATGCATATGCTATAATCATAAAAAATTAGTATGCAGTTGATGAGTCCTTAATGAGTTTCATACAATATCAAACACAAACAAACATAACCGAGTTACATTACTAGAATGCAAAGACAATGTACAAATTTGAAGTGAAAAAGATAGAATCTTTCATATTAAAAATCCAATCTTGATAGAATATTTAAACCGAAAGGATAGAATGGCGCAGAAGGAAAATTCGATCCGACCCGCCCTCGTCGGGTTTTTGACCGTTAGATATCACACACACACACACACATCAATTTTCACTACGTTGCGCAACTTGCAAATCAATCAAGATCTAAAGAACCAAACTTTTTCCAAATCTAAACAGATTACACTCCACAAAAAAAATTCAACATAAAACTAATAACACATTATACACTGTCGCAATCATCATCTGATATTTTAACAGCAAATATCATTTACCTGATAACACGTCACCGTCTGAAAGCACCGGAGCTCCTGGCTGAAATCCGGCAGCCCGACAGTGTGGTGCAGTATCCTGTTCGTCCCAAAATCGTTCGTGTTGGGCCCACCAACGACACAAATCACGGGCAGATTCTCGCTATACGCGCCGGCAATCGCGTTCAGAACGCTAAGCCCGCCGACCGTGAAAGTGACCACGCACGAGCCGACTCCCCTCTGCCGGGCGTAGCCGTCGGCCGCGTAGCCGGCGTTGAGCTCGTTGCAGCAGCCGACATTGGTCAGGCCCGGCTCGGCTATGAGGTGGTCGAGGAGCGTGAGGTTGAAGTCTCCGGGGACGGAGAAGACGTCCCGGACGCCGATTTCGACTAGGCGGCGGGCCAGGTGGCGGCCGAGGGTCGCGTCGGGGGCGGCGGTGACGGCGTGGTGGTGGGAGGAGGAGGAGTTGAGGGCGGCGGCGGAGGAGGTGCCTTTGGGGCACGCGACGTGGGAGTTTTCGGGTTTGGCAGAGTCGAGCGAGCTGAGGACGGTGTCCATTGGCGGAAAGCGGTGGAGGAAAAGTTACTGCGGTGAAAATTTGGGAAAAGTTACTGCCGTGAAAATTTGTGGTGTAGGAACGGGTAAAAGTGGGTGTGTGGTTTTTATAGGGGTGTTTGAGGAGTGAAATTAGGAGGGTTTTTGGCTCTTTTTTGGCTTGCTTGGAGAAGAAGATGGGAGGATTTGTTAGTAGTAATTTTGATTGATTTGATTTACGAGATGTAGTAATTGCATGAGATGTTTCGGTTTTTTAGGTTTCTTATTGGTCAAGGTAAATATATTTGGTAGCTTTATTATATAGTTTGTACTTCAATTTGTGATTTGAAGTTTTAACCATGGTTTTAATTTACATTTTAAAACTCTTGCAAACTTTGGTTTCTTTATGTTACGTACCAATATGAAGGAAATGTAACATATTTTAGAGATGATGTAGAACGGTGTAGAATTAATGGATTGAATTTAATTTGGGTGTTTGTCACATCAAATCATTGTTAGGCAAATATTTTTTTTGATTAATGTTTGGACTCGAAAAGCTAAATTTGAAAAAGTTCAATATATAGTAGACTTTTAGACAAAAAAATGTTATGCAGTTATCGGATAATTTTCTTATAAAGTCATTCACTAATCGATATATTGACACGAGAAATGCTCACCTACCCACGGTGGGCACATGTTAATATGTCCACCGCGTAGGTAACATGCACTCATTGGTGATGTATTTTTTTAAATGTATTAACATTACCAATGAGTGCATGCCACCTACGCAGTGGACATATTAACATGTGCCCACCGTGAGTAGGGGAGCATTTCTAATATTGACAAATGTCCAAAATATATTTATTGTAGGACAGTGTCAATACACTATTGATGAATAAGTGTGAATGACTCCATAACCATGAGTCGAGCTATCCAATAACTCCATAAGGACCATAACAAAACTGGAGTTTTAGACTCAATTTGAATGTTAGTGCATCGATGTAAAATTAAGGGTGTGACTAGATATAAACTTGATCAATAAAAAGCGAATTTAAACTCAAATTTATTAACTTTAAAACAATCCTACTATTTTCATATTATCACTATTCATTCACTCACATACTTTTAACTAAATATCATTTTTCTCATATTTTACATCAAATTATTCATTATTTTATTTTAAATATTACTTCAATTTAAACTTAAATTCTCTCTAACAACTACCACGTTTTTTTTTTTCAAACCTAATAGTTAACAAAAAAACCAATCAAATCCATGTTAATCACACACTAATGGGTTGAACTTAATTTGAAGGTTTGTCAAATCAAATCATTGTTAGGTAAATAGTTTATTTCATTAATGTTTCGGTTGAAAATGCTAATTTTGAAAAGGTTCAATATAGAAGAGTGAGACCGAAAAATATAATTTGTAGAATAAATGTCAATATAAAATTTCCATAATTGCTATACAAAAATTTGTATTCACCAAATAGTTATTTACAAATTGTTAATATAATTCACTAGTCAAAATCAATTATCACAATCTGCTATCAACTATTCTTTATTTGTTACAAGTCAATAGCCAGACACGGTTAGTGAAAATAGCTATTTTTATCCATTATGAAAACATATTAATTTTTCACACCGCCCGTTACATGATATTTTTTTTTGCTTCAGAATGTGCAAATCATTGTGCGATGAATATGCGACATTTATGCGATATATGTGCAACGATTATGCGTTCCATTTACAATTTTTTAGAGTGAAAAAGTTAAAGTATAAAGACATTGTATGGTAAATATGCGATAGTTATGGAGTCAATATGAAACAATTATGCGGTGTATTCATATAACTCTACGTTATTTATGGGGCGAAAAGGTATTATCAATGGACGATATGAAAAAATAATATAATTTTATGGTCAACGAAAAATATGCATGTCCATAAAATAGAGTTTTGGCCCATCAAATCTGCTAATTTAACATATTTTTCTTAAAAAATATCTAATTAGTTATTTATACCAAAATCCTAATACTGAAAAAACTTAATAAAGGAGATTTTTTAGAAAAGATTATTCGTAAATTAACATATCAATATAAAATTTCAAAATTAATTTATACAATCCGCCCGTTTACCAAACACTTTTATTTACAATCAACTAATCATTTACTAAATAAGCTATTACTACATGTTATTAATTAGTATCCCATAATACAATTTTCTAAGCCAATAGTCAAACATAGGTGTGTTTGTTAAACATATAAATTAACTTATTGCTTATTTGATTAACTTATAAATTTTTTTATCAAATAATTTTTATTTGATAAAACGAGCTTTATAAAAAATATCGAACTTATTTAATAAGTTTCCTAGGGTAGCTTTATTGTTATACGATCGATTTTGTAACAACATAAAACGCACACCCCTAATTCGTGAATAGGGGGTGTAGGATTTATATGGAGTTGTAGTGATTTTTTGGTAGGATGTTTGTGTAATGTTTGGTGAATTAAATATGAATACCAAGAATTCAGCCATTGAAAAGAACCAGAAGCTGTATCATATCTTTCTTGTTATATTTGGAAAAAATGGAAAGGAGAGATCCTCCTTGTTCTTTTTCTTCGGGCGGTGCCCTCCTTTTTATCAGATAAAGAAGGAAAAAATTCAAAGCCCCTCATCCTTATCCTTTAGCCCCTATTTATATTTGGGCTAATACCGGTTCGTATAACTAATGGGCTTTTACGATAAAATATGACCACGCAGGGCCCAATAATAAATAAATATGACCACGCAGGGCCCAATAATAAATAAATATGACCACGCAGGGCCCAATAATAAATAAATATGACCGCGCAGGGCCCAATAATAAATAATAGCTCCGACTGATATTTGTCTTGTCAGCAATTGACGTGTCTGTATAAGTGGCTTCTGTGTGATATCTGGGTCGAGCTGGCGGCATTGATTTCTGATTAGGTTTGGATGTGGAGTGTCTTGTCTTCAGGGTACTCGGTCAATATAAATAAGACAGAGAAACTTGTTATTTTATATTTATATATCCATGTGTAATATTCTAATAGGCGGGGCCAAATTTAGGTAACAACAAGCTTTTTAAATAAGTCAAATAAAATTTTATTTCAGCTAGTTTATTCACTAATTTTGTCGAACTTTCTTATCATATATGATAGTTTTTCAGTCATAATTCACAAATTATAACCTATAAACTTGAAATTCACTTAAAAACTATAAACTAACTTATTAGTTAAGTCAGTAATGCTCACCTACCCACGGTAGGCACATGTTACTATGGCCACCGCTTATGTGGCATGCACACATTGGTGATATATATTTTTTTAACATATTAACTTCACCAATGTTTGAATGCCACATAAGCGGTGGACATATTAACATGTGCCCACCGTGGTAGGGGAACATTTACGAACACAATAATCTAGTTTATTGTGAACGTTTTAAGGTCTGTGAGAAGAATTCAATTGGGCCGTTCCTTTTGGGCCTCTTACTTTAAGAAACAGAACACCACATGAAAAAAAATAAAAATAAAAATAAAAATAAATTAAATTTTTATTTTGACCAAAAAAAAAAAAGTAAAATAGAGAATCTGAAATCATGAGTCATCACAGTTCACACGCACTTCGCTAGTCTTTCACCTCTCAAAATTTCACCGTCTATCCCATCGTCGAGCAAAATTACAGTGCGAATAAATGGAGTTCCGGCCCGTCTTCCTCATCCTCATCCTTCTCAGTCTACTTTCTTTCTCTCCGCCGGTGAGTGTTAAATCAAACAATACTTCTCTCATACGATCAGAAACCCTTCTTTGTCCCAATTCTTGAGAACCCCAAATCACGTCGTCTTTCCCGTTTTTCGTGTTTCATTTTGTTTTTTACAGGCTTTTGCAGAAGACCCATCTTTGCTGGTAAAGGCCCCGTTTAAAGTCTCGACGCCGTTCTCAGTTTCCCTCGACAATCTCCAGAAGCAGATCAAGTAACCCCTCACTTAACTCATTTAAAAATAATTAGTTAACCGGGCGGGCAATAAATGTTCACCTGAGTATATTGTGGGTTTATTTTACTTGATTTCGTTTGTAGTTTAATGGGATTCACCTGCATATTGATGTGCATCGCTAGTTTTATGCTTTTATTTGTAATCCCACAACATAAATTTAGCACCTTTATGATGTATACATATCTAATTCTTCTGATTAGTGAAGTTCAAAGTTCAAATGACGCTCTTTGTTTTTTTCTTTTCTCTGTTAGCTATACGTTTAAGAGTGTAGGACTATTGAGGCGTGCAATGACACACGCCTCCTTCTCGGAGGAGAACAACAAAGCTCTAAGCATATTGGGTGCAAGTATTATCGAGACCTCAATCTCATTGCAGGCTTTAATCAAGAATGTGGATATATCGGCAAAGGATTTGAACCGTGCGATTGCTGACGTGTCGAAGGTGGAGAGTTCCTGCGATGCTGACGGGACACATTTGGGGTTGCAGAATGTAGTGAGGGTGTCCCGGAAAACGAATGTCACGTCCCCTGCAGTTGTGTGCGGTGCGTTTCGTGCAGTTTTTGGTGCGATTGCGGTTGATGCTTTGAGTTCGGATGAAGCTGGACGAGTGTATGGGAAAGTTCATCGCGGGTTTGGGGAAGCAATGGAAATTTAGGTAAGTATTGTGAATATTTAGTACGTTTTTTGTGTTAATTTGGCTAAACAGTGAGTAGATTAATTGATACTTTCACTTGTGACATTGTGCCTTGTGCTTATTGCAATGCTTTTGGATTTGGTGTATATTGTTTTTGTGAGCGTTTTGGTTTGGTTTATTGTTTGTAGCTTTCCTGGTAAACTTTGAGAATGGAAGTTTTTTCTGTGGATCGATTTGTTTTGGATTTATATAATATGATATGATCATATTGGTCCTTTGGGCTGCATGTCAAAACATATATTTAAGAAAAGATTCTATATTGGGTTTGTATTTACTGTGAGAAATATTGAATGATGTATCAATTTCAATGCGACGTCCCTTCTTGAAAGATATGAATGTTGACGAGTGGACCGTAATAGAACAATTTGAAATTTGTAGAATGTGATATTGTTTTGCAAAGTGGAATATGACAAGCATTTTTAGGCGAGCAAATGATGCCTTTATCTTCTTTCGACAATTGATTATCTGTTGATTGTATTTTATATTATGTTTTGTTGTATACATCCATATTCTGAATCTACTTTATATTCATTCTCGTCAAAACATTAATGTGTGCAACGTTGGAAAAATCGCTTTCCGATAACGATGTGTATGATATTTATATATCTTTTTTCTATCATTCTTGTGTAGGATATTCTTTTTGCTCATCATTTTTTATACTGAATTTTTTTGTGGACAACATGAATTGCTAGCAATCTTATCTAACTTGCTAAGTTACAATTGCTTTTAGACTACCTCTTCTATTTTTTTTTTTTTTTGGGAGTGTTGCATTGTTTCATTTGTTCCTTACATGTAGAAGACAAATATGTTTGTTATGCTCAAGATGTTTATTTCTTTGATTATTGATGTGAAATTGTGAATTTAAAGGACTTTTTAGCCACAATATTAGATCTTCAGCAGGATCTTACACTGACTTCTAAAACTTCCCTGAGTTTTATTTATTCGATGGGTTGTGTTAGGCTGCCTAGTAGTTAGGCCGTCGTACTTTTTCCCATCAAACTATATATTTCTACACTCAAATGTCATATTTTAAATTGCAATATAAATAAAAGAATGACATTTTATAGCATAAGTATGTCTTTTTATAGCGTTTATAGCGGGTGCCTAACCCGATTTTTGGTACAAACTATATATACAAGAAAGAAAAAATCTTATATTTGACTATTTTCTATTCATTTCAAACTATATTCCCACAAAACAATAGTTTATCAACTGTTAAACTGGTGAAGGTCAAGGATGCATATTGATACTGCATAAGTTTGAGACTGGTGGAGGTGAAGATTAGATATTGAAAATCTATTGGTTTGTTTGATTGGACATTTTTTTTTTTCTTCTCATCGTCAGAGATATATTAGTCACTTAGTGTCTCACTATGTAAAATTATAAAGAGAATTAAAAGGTTATATTAGTACAAGTGCTATTAAAATACCTAAGTTAGCTAAATAATATTTATGGAATATCTGAAACTAGATAATTAATTATTAATATATCAATATTATTTGTCCAAACTTAATTACGAAGCATGATTCTTCGCCAAATAGAATTCCGAAGCACCAGAAGCAGCCACGTAGGCTCAAAGCATTCGGGATTTAAGATTTTTCTTTTTAATAAAAATAATACTATTCACCTATTCATAATTGTTATTTTATTAATATTTAGGATTGTTTTTATATATTATTCATCAGAAAAATTATTCATTCACATATTTATAACTATCAATCTTATTAATTATTATTTTAATATAATCATTACATTTTATATGATATGCATTCACAATTTTAAATCTATCTTACTTTTTCTAATAATATCTTTTTCAATACCTTTTCTCATTTTTTCAACGAGACAAAATAATGAAAATATTTCCAAAAAATCTTTTATCCCAATCAATATCTTATTACCGATTTTCCCAATCAATCATTTTTAATTTAATTTATTTTTCCCAAAAAAACCACCTATCTTCTACCAACATATGTAACAAACCATCCATTCAACCCAATTAATAAATATCCGCACGCATTATAAGCTACAAAACCCTCTAATGGACATCTCGCCGCAAATCGACGACCCTCCCGCCGGAACCCCCACCCGCGGCCACCGGAACCGCTGCTACATCTTCTTCCCCTGCTTCGACCGGCCCTCCTCGACTCCGCGAAGCCCCTCCGCCTCCCGCCCGGCGTGGTGGCGCAGGATCCGTCCGCCCGAGGCCGGCGAGGCCTCCCTCTGGGCTCGGGGTGTGGTCGCGCTGCGGAAGATCCGCGAGTGGTCGGAGATCGTGGCCGGTCCGAGGTGGAAGACGTTCATCCGGCGGTTCAATCGGAGCCGGGCACCGGCCAGGCACGCGAATTTCCAGTACGACTCAATCAGCTACGCCATGAATTTCGACGAGGGCGGCGGCCGGTCGGAGGAGGAGGGCGGAGATGGCTACTACTACGGGTCCCGCAACTTCTCGTCGAGGTACGCCAAGGGGTCCGTGGATCTCAGCAGGGACGGGCCGCCGGCCACCGCATGATCGGTTTCCGGTTAATCCACGCCGTCGATTTGGGCGTGGGTGTAGCCTAGCTGGCAATACCCAATCATTTTCGTTCACAACTCATTTCTGTAAGGCAACTTTTTTTAAAAAAAAAAAAAGAAAAATCTGAAAATATTATATTATTGGGGAAAATTCCATTATTGGAGTGTGAATGAGTGTAATTATTGTTGGTGATTTTTACTATTTTTTTTAAAAAAAACTTTTTGTTATTTTTTAATTTATTATTGTTTTTTTGATTGAGGAATTACCTCTTTGGTTGATGATATTCATTTATATTTTAGTTCTTATTTTTTGGAAATTTTTAATTTATTGTTGTTTTCTTGATTGAGGGATGAAACCTTTTTCTTTTTTTGATGTGGAAAGTTTTGGTAAAGGGTTCAATCAAATATAGGTAGAAAACACACTTTTTCCCTGTTTTGTTTTGCCTTTATTTTCCTCCATGATTTTATTTCCATTTGCATTATCCATTTGGGAAAGGCATGTTCTAGTACATGTGACAATATGGTGCTCTGTTTTTTGGTTGATCTTTTTTACCAAATTATCACCTTTTCTACAGTGCTACCGTGCGTCCTCACACACCTAGCAAAATATGTCAAGACGTTTTTAAAATGAACATGTGTGTAAACATGGGCGCACCTAAGTGTTTGCGCCTTTCTTAGGAAAAAAGATTTAAGGAAAATATTATTGGTTTAGGATTATTAGAATAAATGAGTACTTTAACATCCAAAATTGATGAAACATTTTCTTCAAATGCATATAATA